AGGTCTTACTATAATGAGGCTGGTTCAACAAAAACCAAGCCCTCCCTCAGTCTCTCTACTATTAAGGAAGGATGGTTCAACAACAAAGCCCTCCCTCAGGTCTACTATAATGAAGGGTTCAACAGGCAAACCCCAAGCCTCCCTCAGGGTCTACTATAATGAAGGCTGGTTGTCAACCACACAAACCAAGCCCCTCCTCAGGTTCTACTATAATGAAGGCTGGTTCAACGCAACCCAAGCCCTCCTCAGGTCGACTTAAGGACAGGCTGGTTCAAAACAACCAAGCCCTAACTCAGGTCTACCCCTATAAGAAGGCTGGGTTCACAACAAGCCCTCCCTCAGGTTCTACTATAATGAAGGTGGTGGTCAACAACAAGCCCTCCTCAGGTCAACTATAATGAAGGCTGGTCAACAACAACCCAAGCCCTCCTCAGGTCTCTATAATGAAGGCTGGTTCAACAAACCCAAAGCCTCCCTCGGTCTACTATAATGAAGGGCTGGTTCAAACAACAAGCCCTCCCTCAGGTCTACTATAATGAAGGCTGGCTCAACAACAAGGCCAAGCCCCCTCGTCTAATATAATGAAGGCTGGTTTCAACAACCCAAGCCCTCCCTCAGGTCTACTATATGAGGGGCTGGTTCAAAACCAAGCCCTCCCTCAGGCCTACTATAATGAAGGTGGTTCAACAAACAAAGGCCCTCCCTCAGTCATACTAGAATGAAGCTGGGGTTCAAAAAACAAACCCAAGACCTCCCTCAGGTCTTACTATAATGAAGGCGGGTTCAACACCAAGCCCTCCCACAGGTCTACTATAATGAAGGCTGGTTAACAACAAGCCCTCCATCAGGTTACATAATGAAGGGATGGTTCAACAACAAGCACTCCTCAGGTCTATATATGAAGGCTGGTTCAACAACAAGCCCTCCCTCAGGTCTATATAATGAAGGCTGGTCAACAGCAACCAAGCCATCCCTCAGGTCTACTATAAGGAAGTGGTCAACAACACGCCCTCCCTCAGGTCTTACGATAATGAAGGTGATTCACAACAAGCCCTCCCTCGTCTACTATAATGAAGGCTGGTTAACAGAACCCAAGCCATCCCTCAGGTCTAATATAATGAAGGCTGGTCAAACAACAACCCAAGCCCTACCTCAGGTCTACTATATGAAGCTGGTTCAAACAAAACAACCCAGCCCTCCTCAGGTATACTATAATGCAGGATGGTTAAACAACACCCCCCAAAAAAAAAACAAGCCCTCCCTTCAGGTATACTATAATGAAGGCTGGTTCAACAAACAAACCACAAGGCCATCCCGCAGGTCTACTACATGAGGCTGGTTTCAACAACAACCAAGCCCTCCCTAAGGTTCACTATAAGGACAGGATGTTCAACAACAAACAAAGACATCCCTCAGGTCCGACTATATGAAGGCTGGGGTTCAACAACAAGCCATCCCTCAGGTTACCTATAATGAAGGATGGTTCAACAACAAGCCCTCCTCAGGTCTACCGATAATGAAGGCTGTTCAACAACAAGCCCGCCCTAGGTCTACTATACTGAGGCTGGTTAAACAAACAAGGCCCTCCCTCAGGTCTACTATAATGAAGGCTGGTTCGTCAACAACAAGCCCTCCCTAGGTCTCTATATAATGAAGTGAGTTCAACAACAACCCAAGCCTCCCTCAGGTCTACTATAATGAAGGTGGTTAAACAACAAGCCCTCCTCAGGTTCTACTAAATGAGGCTGGTTCAACAAACACCAAGCCCTCCCTTCAGGTGCTACTATAATGAGGATGGTTCATACAAACAACCCAAGCCTCCCTAAGGTTAATTAATGACGGCGGGTTCAACAACAACCACAAAGCCCACCCCCCCTTTTCCCTCAGGTCTACTATAATGAAGGCTGGTTCAAACAAACAAGCCCTCCCTCAGTCTAATATAAGGAAGGCTGGTTCAACAAACAAGCCCTCCTCGGTCTACTATAATGAAGGCTGGCTTCAACAACAACCCAAGCCTCCCTAGGTCTACTTCAATTAAGGCTGTTCAACAACAACCCAGCCCTACGTCAGGTCTCACTAGAATGAAAGGTGGTTCAACAACAAGCCCTCCTCAGGTCTACTATAATGAAGGATCGGTTCAACAGCAACAAGCCCTCCCCTCAGGTCTACTATAATGAAGGCGGATTCAACAAAAACCCCTCCCTCAGGTCTACATAGATGAAGGCTGGTTTTACCAATCACTTGGGCCACTACTTTTCAGAAACTTCACGTAATTTTTCAAACTCTAGACACAAACTCACAACCAATGGATCAAATGCACAGTTTTCAAAACTTACCACTTTTTTCAATTGCTTGGATACAATACACATAAAACTAAGATCATTGTTCATTTAACAAAAGTCACCGTTTCAACGATGACACAACTTAACCACAAAGTACTACTTTTTAAAAAGGCAATTCACACATTACTTTCAATGAGTTCTTTCTTTTCATTACAATTACCCCCAACTAAAATTGTCCAACTGCTCAATGTAATATTTTTTTGCTTTACCTTAATGCATGTTTTATAAAAAACAACAAAAAATTTTTCCTTTTTAAATCATAAATTTTCAAGTCCGAGATTCTTGTCACCATTGCTGAGATGAACCAATTTAGACTACTTTTTTAGGGGATGTAAATATCTCATCATTCTTTATCAAACACTGTTTCTTGGTCCCTTACCCCTTTTCAGACTTTTACGTTTTGACATACTGCACGAGGATGCGGCCCTTGTAATTGCTTTTCCTTCTGCCAACTCTTACTGAGATTAAAATTGGGGCGAGTTTTAAAAGATTTGATTGGGATCCATTGCAACAACATAGCGATACTCTGAAACGGGGGCCGGGCGGTATCCAGGTCACAATAAGGTCAAGCAGGGGTGGGAGGAAACGAGGAAAGTTTGTCAAGGAATGGCAGGGACACACCCCTTCTGAGGGGGTCTGGGGGAACGGGCAGGGACAAGCCCCCTCTAAGGGGGTCTTGGGGGAACGTTCAGGGGAAAAACACCCCTTTTCGAGGGGGGGTCGGGGGGGGAACCGGGGGAAAACAAAGACCCCTTCTAGAGGGGGTGTGGGGGAACGTGGGGGGACAAGCCCCCTTCGAAGGGGGTCGGGGGGGAACGGGGCAGGGACAAGCCCCCCTTCTGAGGGGGGGTCGGGGGGGAAACTGGCAGGGGACAAGCACCCCTTCTGAGAGGGGGTCGGGGGGAAAACGTGGCGGGGACCAGCACCCTTCTAGGGGGGTGGGGGGGGAACTGGGGGGAAAACCCCCCTTTCTGAAGGGGGCGTGGGGGAACTGGTAGAAGAAAAGGGCCACGGACCAAACAGCGGCAGAAACACAAAGAGGCCCCCAATAAAATCGAAAATGTTGTGACCATGTCATAAATCAGGCATGACAATGACTGAGGGGGCTCCAATGATCCCCAAACCAAACCTCAGAAGGTCAACCGGGGCCCCTAAAAATCAAACTTTTGAAATGAAACCCGGAAAAGGGTCGTCAGCTCAACTAAACATTTCTACTCTCAATTGTCAAATGACTGCATACCAAGTGTACACAGAGTAGGTGATTGACCATTTCTTCTTACTGTAATGTTCCCTGTAAATTAACAGGCCGGGGGAGGCAAGGCAAAATTCAGACGACCAACAAAGCGGGCTGGGGTCGTTTTGGTTCGGGCCAGAAATATTTCGCCTTACGAAATTCGCCACATATCTTGGACTGAAGACTTTTTAAAAATTGGGGAATCCATAAGTTTCACTATTGCACGCTGCTGAAGGCCCAGGGTCTTTAAAAAACAAAAACCCCGGTGCCTTTTGAAGAATGCAGACAGATAAACAAATGAGGACGGAGTATGTTCAGGTATTTTCATTTAAGATGGCTTTGAAATAAAATTCCCTAATCTGTAATTCTACTTTTCAGAAATCATAATCTCTTTCCAAAATGTTTTTTTTAAAGGGTATGAGCGGGATGCTGATGACCCCATCAAAAATTCTATATTTGGATGAGGCAAGGCTTTAACCTGGAAAAGACAAGGGGGAAGGGTCGGAATTTCATTGGCCAGCGGGAAACCTCCGTACCGGGACAACGGGGGCCCAACTTCCCATTGTGGGGCTATATCAAAATGGTGTGGTGGGAACAGCCTCGTATTGGTCAAAATGCAGCTCTCCTTGAAACCCTTTCCTTGATGAACTCGATCAGGTCTGTAGAGCCGATGGCGTACCTTCTTGTGTGGGATAATTCAGGGGTTCCACCATGCTCATATGTGCAAAACTGGTTTTTAGGCCCTACAACCCCCCCCAACCCCCCTGTATTTCCACCCCCCATACTCTCCTTTCCCTTTCCCCCTTTAGGGAAATTTTTTTTCCACAGGAGATGGAAGGTTTTTGATGGCGCCCTCTGAACAAATCATCTTCTCCCGGGCCCTGGATGACGCATCAATAAAATCCGGCAGACCAGGTCAGGCCTGGATTCCCCCCATGCCCCAAAAGGTTTTTTTTTCCCAAAATGTTTGCTAAAGAAAAATCCTTGTGATGTAGATGAGAAAACCCGTGGCCAAACCACAAACAAATTGATGAAAATTAAAGTAAAAATAAACACTCCCATGTTTGCTTTTTAAATACAAAAGCAAGCAAGTTGAGGAACCTCTTGATGTTTAAAAGTACTGGGTTTTTTTTCATCATATTTTCGATTTTGTTCAATGATTCCCGTGCTGTAGTAATTCCTTTTACACTGCAGTACTTTTTACGGGATATTTACATTGTACCATATGAAAAATGTATCACCTATTTGTATACCTGTTTTTTGATTGTTCGTGGTGCTACGGTTGTTTGGTGGTGTTCAATTGGTTTTCTAATTGGTTTCCAATGATGGGGATGAAGTTTCTTAAAGATGATGAAAATGCTGTTTTGGGAAATTTGGGAACCCAAGTTTGTGTGCCTTTTTGGTTTGTTGGGGTCTGTTTTAAAATGTTCGGTTTGTTGTGCCGTGTTGTGTTTGGTTTGGGGTTGTGGAGTGAAAGGTTCTGGTGTGTCTGGTGCCCTGTGTGTGTTTTGTGCTGTGTCTGTGTGTGGTGTGTGGTTTTGTCTGGTGTTGTGTTTGTGTTTGTGTGTTGTGTGGGGGTGTGTGGTGTTGTGTGTGTTGTGTGTCTGTGTTGTGTCTGTGTGTGTTGTGTGTTGTGGTGTTGTGTGTTGTGTGTGTTTTGTGTTGTGTTCCTTTTGTGTGTTTCGTGTCTTGTGTGGTGTTGTTGTTGTGTTTGTTGTGTTTTTTTTTGTTTGTTTGTGTGTTTTGTGTGTTGTTTTTGTGTTTGTGTTTTTGTTGTTTTGTTGTTTTTGTGGTTTGTTGTGTCTTGTGTGTGTTGTTTGTTTCTTTTGTTTTGTGTTTTGTGTGGTGTGTTGTTTTTGTTTTTTTTTTTGTTGTTGTTTTTTTGTTGTGGTGTTGTGTGTTTGTTTTTGTTTGTTGGGTGTGTGTTGTGTGTTGTGTTTGTGTTGTTGTTTTGTTTTTTTTTTTTTTGGTTTTTGTTTTTTTTTTTTTGTGTGGTGTGTTTTGTGTGTGTTTTTTTGGTTTGTTTGTCTTTTGTGTTGTTGTGTTTTTGTGGTGGTGTGGGTTGTGTGTGGTTTGTTGGGGGTCTGTGTGTGTGTGTTTTGTTTGTTGTGTTGTGTGTGGTATGTGTCTTTTTCTGTGTGTGTGTGTGTGTGTGTGTGTGTGTCTCCTGTGTGTGTGTCTGTGTGTGTGTGTTGTGTCCGTGTGTGTCTGTGTGTGTGTGTGTGTGTGTGTCTGTTGTGTGTGTGTGTGTGTGTGTCTGTGTGTGTGTGTGTGTTGTGTGTCTGTGTCTGTCTGTGGTGTGTGTGTGTGTGTGTGTGTGTTGTGTGTGTGTGTGTGTGTGTTGTGTTTGTGTTGTGTGATTGTGTGGTGTGGTGTGTGTTTTGTGTGTGTGTGTCTGTGTTCTGTTTGTGTGTTGTGTGTGTGTGTGTGTGTAAACTTGTCTGAAACATTCATATCTTCAATTCTGAAAAACATGGTAACAGCGTTTTGGGTTAGGGTTAAGACCTATTTGACATGAAGGGGAAGGTCTCTCGGAAACATTCCTGGCACATCACGGGAACATTCCTATCTTAAGGTTATTGATGACCTAATGACACTCTTAAGGGAATGTTCTTTAAAGTAGTGGGAACGTTTGTTTTTAGCTGGGTGGTGACTGCAGGTATAACATAAATAGTTGGGTGAACCAGGCTGGCATGATGGTGGATGTTGTTGCCTGAGAGCTGAAGACTCTGTTGTTTCTGTTCTGTCTGAATGTGTCCTCCTGGTTACTGATTCCAAGACTGTTGTTTCTGTTCTGTCTGAATGTGTCCTCCTGGTTACTGATTCCGAGACTGTTGTTTCTGTTCTGTCTGAATGTGTCCTCCTGGTTACTGATTCCGAGACTGTTGTTTCTGTTCTGTCCCCCAGGAGTGTTGTGTCAGCAGAGAGGAGACCTGAGGCTGTGTGGTGGGGCCATCCATGTTGCCGTCCTCCCACTATCACTCCCTCCACCCTATCCTCCTCTCCTCTTCCTCCTCTTCCTCCGCCTGCTGCAGAGAGCGTCCCAGCTCCCACTCTCCTCTCTCCCCACCTGCCGTCCTGCATCTCTGAGTCCCTGCTCCCCCACACAACAACCCCACAGCACTCCTCGCCCCTTGCCCCTGCCTCCCCCCCTCCCCCTGCCTGACCCCTGCCCCTGCCCCTGCCTCCCCCCTGCCCCTGCCTGACCCCCTGCCCCTGCCTCCCCCCTGCCTTCCCCCTGCCTCTCCCCTGCCTCTCCACTCACCCCCCCTCTCACCATGATGGAGTTGGGGGGCGTGTCCTATCTGTCGGAGGAGTGTCTTCTACAGGCCACGCCCACCTGCCTGGGGTGCTTCATCGAGACCCGGGACCCCGCTCCTATCCATGACCCCGCTCCTATCCATGACCCCAGCCCCATGACCCCTGACCCCGAGGCGGTGCTGGTAAGCCGCCAGGACTTCGAGGCCACTTCCTGCCCCATCTCTGACATCAGTATCCAGTGTCTGAGCCAGGTCCTCGGGGAACAGCTCCTGTCAGACCAGCTCCTCAGCTTCCCCATGACCAAAACCTGCCACGCCACCGCCCTCGCTAGCGCCCTCGTTACCACTAACGACAAGACAGGAGACAACGGAGAGAAGATGGAGGCAGAGGATCCCACTACCAAGAACCTGTATGAGGGCCTCCTATTGGACAAAGTGAACGGGGAGGAAATGCTGCTATTGGACAAGGTCCCCAGGGAGAAAGTGTTGCTATTAGACAAAGCAAACGAGGAGGAAAGGCTGCTATTGGACAAGGTCCCCGGGGAGGAAGTGTTGCTATTGGACAAGGTGAACGGAGAGGAGGTCCTCTTATTGGACAATGTGAACGGGGAGGAGGTGCTGCTATTGGACAAGGTCCCCGGGGAGGAAGTGTTGCTATTGGACAAGGTGAATGGAGAGGAGGTCCTCTTATTGGACAAAGTGAACGGGGAGGAGGTCCTGCTATTGGACAAGGTCAGCGGTGAGGAGGTCCTTCTGGCCAATGCGGGTCAGGACTGGGGTTACTTTGAGTCGTTTATCAGTGAGTCCAAGATGGAGCTGCTGGACCTGTGTTCTAAGACCGACCTGTCAGTCAACCTGTTTTCCGAGGACGACGTTGACAACCTGTTTGACGACGATGACGAGGACTCGACTCTGAGCAGCGACGTGTGCTCTCTAAAGATCCGCTACGAGTCCTTCCAGGACAACATGAGAGAGAAGACCAACGTCCTGCAGGAGGACACACAGTTCAACTTCTTCCCCTCTGTCCTGGTCAACTGTGCCAAGAGGGAGGGCAGAGGAGGAGGAGGAGGAGGAGGAAGGAGGACAGGGGAGGAGGGTAAAGCTGAGGAGCTGAGTCTGGTGGTGGGGGAGGAGGGGGGGAAGGTGGGTGAGGAGAGGGGAGGCGTTAGCCCCCTAGTGGGTTCTCAGGGGTCCCAGGGCTCGCCCCTCTCCTCCCCCTCCCTCCACCTCTCCTCCCCCTCCGCCTCCTCTGTCAACTACCTGCTGGAGTTCAGAAACTCAGCCGAGGAGGACGCGGAGTACAGCGATGACTCCTCCTGCACCTCCTCGGACACCCTGCAGGAGGCGCGGCCAGGGCCAGGCCAGAGGAGGGCAGGAGGAGGAGGAAGTGCGCTCCTCAGCCCATCCAGCCCGCTGAACTACGGCCTGCGCTCCAAAAGGAAGGTCAGCTACAGTGACGACTACCTATACGATGTTGACTCCATCGACAGCCACGAGAAGACTGAGAGAAATGCCACAAAGAAGAGGGAGAAGGTTCCGGCGGGACAGAGGGAGGAGGATGTGGACTGGTGCCCCAAGAAGAGACGGAAATCCTTCCGGAAGGAGCCGCCAGTCATCATCAAGTACATCATCATCAACCGCTTCAAAGGACAGAGACACATGTCTGTGAATCTGGGCCGGCTGGACCCTGCCGGGGACGCTGCCGTGAGCCTGGACGCCGCCGCGGAGAGCCACTACTCCTCTCTGTCTCCGCTGAAGGACTTCTGGCAGGAGAGGAGGAGGGAGCGGGAGGAGCAGCTGCGACTAGCGTCCAGAGATAAACAGCATCACCGCCACCGCCCCAAACGGAAATACAAGATAGCAAACAGGCTGTGTGTCCAGAGGACAGGGGAGGGACCAGCAGCAGCACAGGACTCGGGTTCTACCCCCTCTGTCTCTGGTCAGGCTGTTATTACAGCGGAGGGGGGAGGGGGAACAGCAACATTAGAACCACAGAACATCGCACACACCGTAACAGCCAAGAGGAGCCGCACCCAGGAGAGAGAGGAGAGGGAGGGGAGGAGGATGGGAGGAGGGAAAACAGGGAGGAAATTCAAGAGCCAAGCCAGGCTGAGGAGTAACAAGACAATGGAGGAGGGAGGAGCAAGAGGAGGAGCGGAGGGGGGGAGCGTGACGAATGGAGCGGCGGATGGCAGTACTGCTGCTGCTGCTGGGGTGTTAACCTACCAGGAGCCTGCTGGCAGCCCCCCTGTCTCCTCCCTGGATCCCACCGCTGACACCAACCAGCAGACATTCCCCTTCACCTCCTCCTCCTGCGCCTCTGTCCTCATCTCTTCTGCCTGCGTCTCCTCCTCCTGCATCTCCTCCTCCTGCTCCTCTGACCAAGCTGTACCTTCTGGGGAGAGGGAGGAGGGGGTGTCAGTGATCCCAGGGGGGTACCTACAGACCCTACTAGATGCCTCAGTCTCCTCCGGGGGGGCAGGTATCGCCTACTACCCCCAGCAGCCCCCCAGGCAGCACTATCCCCTGGGTCTCTCTCTAGAGGAGAAACAGCCCCCCAGGCAGCACTATCCCCTGGGTCTCTCTCTAGAGGAGAAACAGCCCCCCAGGCAGCACTATCCCCTGGGTCTCTCTCTAGAGGAGAAACAGCCCCCCAGGCAGCACTATCCCCTGGGTCTCTCTCTAGAGGAGAAACAGCCCCCCAGGCAGCACTATCCCCTGGGTCTCTCTCTAGAGGAGAAACAGCCCCCCAGGCAGCACTATCCCCTGGGTCTCTCTCTGAGGAGAAACAGCCCCCCAGGCAGCACAAATCCCCTGGGTCTCTCTCTAGAGGAAAACAGCCCCCCAGGCAGCACTATCCCCTGGGTCTCTCTCTAGAGGAGAAACAGCCCCCCCCAGGCAGAAACTATCCCCTGGGTCTCTCTCTAGAGGAAAACAGCCCCCCGGGCAGCACTATCCCCTGGGTCTCTCTCTAGAGGAGAAACAGCCCCCCAGGCAGCACTATCCCCGGGGTTCCTCCCCTAGAGGAAAAAAACAGCCCCCCCCGGGCCCGCACTATCCCCTGGGTCTTCCTCTAGAGGAGAAACAGCCCCCCAGGCAGCACTATCCCCTGGTCCCCTCTCTAGAGGAGAAACAGCCCCCCAGGCAGCACTATCCCCTGGGTCTCTCTCTAGAGGAGAAACGCCCCCCAGGCAGCACTATCCCCTGGGTCTCTCTCTAGAGGAAAAAACAGCCCCCCAGGCAGCACTATCCCCTGGGTCTCTCTCTAGAGGAGAAACCCACCCCCCAGGCAGCACTATCCCCTGGGCCCTCTCTCTAGGGAAAAACAGCCCCCCCAGGCAGCACTATCCCCGGGGTCTTCTCCTAAGGAAAACAGCCCCCCAGGCAGCACTATCCCCTGGGTCTCTCTCTAGAGAGAAACAGCCCCAGGCAGCACTATCCCCTGGGTCTCTCTCTAGAAGAACAGCCCCCCCAGGCAGCACTATCCCCGGGGGGCCCTCTCTCTAAGGAAAACAGCCCCCCAGGCAGCACTATCCCCTGGGTCTCTCTCTAGAGGGAGAACAGCCCCCCAGGCAGCCTATCCCCTGGGTCTCTCTCTAGAGGAGAAACAGCCCCCCAGGCGCACTATCCCCTGGGTCTTTCCCTCTCTAGAGGAAACAGCCCCCCAGGCAAGCACAAATCCCCCTGGGTCTCTCTCTAGAGGAGAAACACAGCCCCCCCAGGCAACCCTGGCTCTCTCGAGAGCCCCCCGGCTCACATCCCGTCCGAGTCAGAGCTCCCCCAGTCCCCCCAAAACTGCCCCAGCTTTCCCCCTTTCATGTGGCACCACCAGCCCCATCTCTGCCCCGGCTACCCCCACAGCCAGGGGGGCTTCGGGTCTGGGTCAGGGTCAGACTACAGCCAGCAGGGATCAGAGACTGACATGACTGCTGTACGAGAAGAGTTTACCCTTGTGGAGGGGGACAGGCTGGGGCTGCAGCCAGGGTCGGGGGTGGAGCTACAGGAGCTGCAGGTGTGTCAGTCAGGTGTCTGTCTGAGGCAGGTGCAGTACCAGAGAGGCTCTCTCTGCTCAGACCCATGGCTGTCTAATCAGCTATGACTCTGTGGGCTCCCTGTCAGCCTGCTCCTCCAACTATAGCTCTCAGAGCCTCCATCGTGAGGGAGGAGGGGAGACGGAGGAGAGGAGAGACAGCTACCTGCAGCACTGCAGCCCCATGGTGTTGCTCCAACAGAGCCTGGAGGACATGGGTCAGCCCGTCACTCCCCTCAGAGAGTCCTCAGACCTCCTCGACATCTCCAACTTCACCCCGGACAAGTTCAGACACTCCTCCCTGTCCTCCCTGTCGCCCCCGGAGACCCCCAACCTCTCCCCCCAGGTGACGAGGGGCGAGGCACCGGAGTACCAGGATCATGTGACAGGATGTGACATCATGCAGCAGGCGGCGCAGCACGGGGTGGAGGGGCGGCAGTTCTCATTCAACGGAGAGGAGCAGGGGGGGAAGAACACCCGCTCTAAGAGGAAAGCAGGTTATAAACAGGCTGCAGCGGCGGCAGGAGGACAGCAGGGGCCTAAGAAAGGCCGGGCCTCCAGAGCAGCCAAGACAGAGAAGGTGAAGACGCCTAGACAGAGCCGCTCCTCTAAGAAGATCAAAGCCATGCTGGAGGGGAAGGCTGCCAAGGGCCAGGCGCAGGCGGGGGGGAACCTTCAACCCCACAGCCACGGTAGCACTGGGGACTGGTCTGGCAGCGGCACCGGGCCTAGTGGCTGGTCGGAGGGGAACACCAGCCTGGGGGGAGGGGAGGAGCAGCGGGAGTTTGAGGAGCCATCCAACATACTTTCCAACATCGTATCCGGCATGGCGGAGGTCCAGAGGTTCATGATGGCGTCCGTGGAGCCTCTGTGGGACCCGCTGGAGGCCGGCCTGCCGCCCGACGCCAACAGCCTC